AAGGTTGAGTTTGAACTATGTGACTATGAAAGATCGCTCAAATGTTATAAATTAGGCCTCGCTAGTGGCACAAGGGGTTACACACAGCACAGTGAAGCTATCTGCAGCCTCTGCAGCCCAAGTTCAATCGCAGGCCCACACATGGCACAGCAGACCTCTCCTGTGTTGCTGTCCAATGCTCCCCTCAATAGTGTATTCCAGTCAGACTGCCTGTTCTGTTCCCTACTCAGTCTCTGGTGAATCCTCTCACCCCTTCCCCTGCACTCTGGCCTGCGCCCCAGTTTTTATATGCATAATAAATCTTCTAAAAAGTGTTATAAATTACATTTTGGTTGCTAGATCTCTTATCTATTAGCCTTCTCTCTTTTATTTGTAATTTATTTGTTTACAAAGTCATGTGATGCCATTTAACATGTTGTTCTGCTTTTTATAGTTCCTGTAAGTTGACAGTTGGGTCCAGAGGTTTAGTCACATTCAGTAATTTAAGGGGGGAAACTGCCTTCATGGTGGTGTTTTGATGTTCCATCAGAAAGTGTATGTCACCTGGTCATCTTTTTTTTTTTTTTGGCGATACTAGCAATTACTGATGATAAATATCTAGAGATCCATTACTTTCTAAGGCGTTTACAAAGTTCTGGTATTCTTAATCTACTTATTAGATATTCTTCCTTCTTTATTAGCTAGACTACTTATTTAAAGAAAATTTAACATTTTAATCATTTCTAGAAGCACAGCCCAGCGGCAGTAAGTACATTTAGAGCATTACACAACCTCCACCGCCCATCCCCAGAACTCTCCAGTAAACACAGTTCTCCCACCACCAAAATACCCATAGTCCATCACCCTAGTTGCCTGTGCTTCCCCCCCAATTTTCTCACTCATCCCATCCTTACTTCCTCCCACCTCCCCCTCACCTCCTGATAGCCCAGATTTTTTGGGTCAGTTTTCAAGATCTGTCTTTGTCTGACCCTTTGTTTGATTTCTCTATATTCCACATCTAAGTTATAAGTGAAACCATCCAATATTTATCTTTCTCCTTCTGACTTACTTCTCATAGCATAATCCCTTCCAGTTCCATCCATGCTGCTGCAAATGGCATGGAATATGGAATACATTTATAAAGAGATATTTCCACTAATACACCATTTGTTTATCCACTGGTATAAAGATAAATAATTCAATCTGTCCCTTTATTGGCCAATTAGAATAATAAAATGATTCATTACAATACTCCAATGGGGCCTCCCTGGTGCAAGGGGTTAAGACACAATCTATGAAGCTATCCCCAGCCACTGAGGCCAAGTCCAATCCCCGGCCAGGGAGTTGACCCACATGGCGCAGCAGACCTCTCGTGACTCGCCCGCTGCTCCCCTCAGCAGTGTATTTCAGTAGATCTGCCAGTTCTGCTCCCCACTCTGTTTCTGGTGAATCCTCTCACATCCCCACACCTCTGGCTTGTACCCCAGTTCTTCTGTGCATAAATAAATAAATCTTAAAAAAAAAAAGAATACTCCTATGATGATCAATTTCTTTAACTATCATTACCAATTCATAAGCTTAAATATTAGACATATTTCAAACTGAATGCTTTTTGTGCATCTACTAAGATGATCATATGATGTTTACTTTCTAACCTATTAATATACTAAATAATATAAATTGATTTTTAACTGTAAGCTAACCATGTATTTTTAGTAGAAATCCACTTTGGTCACAGGGATAACTAAAAATATATATTGCTTGATTCAGATTGCAAATGTTTTGCTTAGAATATTTGTATCTGTGCTCATAAGTAAAACTGTTCTAAACTTTTCTCATACTGTCACTGTTAAGTTTTGTTATGAAGGTTATATAAGCTTCAACTGAGTTGGGGAGGGGTTACTTATTTTTCCATTCCTTGGGAGAAATTATAAAGAGTGGAATTATTTTTCCTTCAATGTAAAACTTGGTAAAACTTTTAAAAATGCCAGGGCCCAATGATCATCTGTTTGCTTGCTTTCAAAAAGTTTTAAATTAAACACACATACACACACTTCATAAATAATAAGACTACAGCTTGAATCCTTATCACAATACAATTTCACCCTTTCATATATCGCCTCAGCCTGATCTTTGCTTTTATAAGAGATCTCAGTCAGTGGGAACAGTAGGTACATTAAAATCACTGCCCCCTGTTGACAGAAAAAACATTTAGGTTTGAAAGATGACTATCAATTCTATTCAACAGGAAAAACAACTGAACCAGTTTCTCACCCACTAGGCCAAATAATTCTAAATGAGGTTTTAATAGTAAACTGGAAAGATTTTAGTTCAAGCTGCTAATGCTTTACAACAAGAAATCACCTTTTGCTTTTTGGCAAACTCAAAGATGTTTTTTTTTTTTTTTTTTAAAGTCGTTTAAGAATTTTTAAGACATAGTTAAAACAAAAATACTTAGGATGGAAAACAGAAGATGATAGTTATTAAAAGCACAAGAAAAAAGGAGAATAGGGCCTCCCCGGTGGCGCAGCGGTTGAGCGCTGGGTTGCGAAGCTACCCGCGGCCTCTGCGGCGCCGGTTCGATCCCCGGCTGCTCCCGGCCACCGGAGGAGGGTCCCACATGGTGTGCAGACCTCTCCTGCCGCCCGCTGCTCCCCTCAGCAGTGTACTTCGGTCCTTCTGCCTGCTCTGCTCCCTGCTCTGGCTCTGGTGAATTCTCTCACCCTCCCGCGCTTCTGACTGTACCCAGTGCATGTATAAACCAAACAAATAATAAATAAATAAATAAGACATGCCTCTAGAAAATTAAAAAAAAAAAAAAAAAAAAAAAGGAGAATAAAATCTGACCTAATGAACTTAGAAGAGAACACCCGTGTAGCAGGATGAACTCACTGAGATCTAACTGGAACACGTGGTGATAAACGGCCAGGTTTGTTTGAAACTGAACGAAACTGTAGAGTGCCAGATGAGATTATTGTCCGGAGTGATCTCCGTAAACTCTAAAGCTTCTGGCTAGTACTGCCAAGACACTCTTCACCTTCACATACTACTTTTTGCCTACAATGTGTTCTCTTTTACAGTAAGGACTGAACTGGAAACAAAGTTCAGCTTAGCAACTCCAGCACAGTACCAAGCCCCAAGACTGGCCACTTCATTCGATAGGCCTTTCCTCTCTACTTCCACTACACCCTCTCCAGGTCAGATGATAAACTACTTCTCAAACTTCTCGACTTTCCACGCATGTATCAGAGACTAAAAGCAATTTAAAGCTTAGGGGGGAAATCATTTGATGAAACCTTAAACCATTTCTGCTCCAAATATGAAATTTTTATATGGAGAAGACAAATTTTTAACAGCTTAAAATAAACTATCCAGTAAACTAAGTAAACCATAAAGAGAATAGTGACAGCCCCCAAAACCATAAGACTAGAACTCTGGGGACCAGATCTCTAGATATATATGTATGTCAAACCACTTACTTAACAGATATTTATTGATTGCCAGGCCGTCAGCTACTATTCTATCTCATAAGCTCACTCAAAGGAATGAGAATTAAGACCCAAAACATATATTCTTCACATAAGAGCAGAAAAAGATTATTCCAGTTTCTTCAACTAATACTCTGAATCCTTAATACACAAGTTAAGTAACGTCCTTCCTTTGGACTTTTTTGGTAGCTTATGTTTTCCATAGCTGCTTTTGCACACATTCTAGCACATAAAAGTTGAGCAAATATACAAATCAAAATAACCCTCAAAAGTCACACACAATATAAAATGGTTCTTTATATATCTGAAAGTATTAGCCTTACACATTAAAGCAGTAAAAAACAACAACAACAAAAAAAACCAAAAACCCACAGATGTTATTTTCGCCAACTAGATAAAAAAACACTGAGACTGACAACAACTATTTCTGATGCTAGAGAGCTGAGCATGCCTCCATACTCCTTATTGATGGGCAGTTAAGCTGTTTTCTTTTTGAAAATGTATGTAGCCTTGGGCCAAAAAATTTCGCTGTTAGGCATTTATCCAACAAATATACTGGAAATGAGAATGCAAGGAGGAGTGTGTAGGATGCTCACCACAACATAATTTGTTACAGTAAATACCTGAAGATAACTTAGAACTGAGTAAAATCATAATACAGGAATACAATGGAATAGTATTCCATCACAAAGAAATGAAGCAGATCCTTATGTACTGATATAAGATGTCCAAGATAAAACGTCAAGTGAAAAAAGGAAGTCACAGAATAACCTGTATAATTCCATTAATAGAAAAGGGGGGGGGGAGAGTTACACACTGACATATAACACAAAAATGTATAATTAAAATTTTCTAGAAGAATTCCCAAGAAGGTATCAGTAGCCAGAATACTAGGGGCATAGAGGTGAGGTAGTGGGGACTTCTACCTTCTTTATATATACTTTTGTATTGTCTGAATTCCTCAACAACCATATATTTAAAAAAAATTATCAGTCCTTAGATGTAAACTTCTTATCAAATTATAAGCTTACTCTGATGTACTATCTATAAGAAATCAATTAATTTCTAAACATCTTTTACAGATAAGGAACTGGAATATTAATGTCTATGGCTTACTCAAGACCATGAAGTTTATGAAGTACTGTCAGTAACTAAAATGAAGGTGATCAAAGGATCAAGAAAAGTAATTAAAAGCAAAATAGTTGCAAAGTTCAAGGTAGTATAAAGTCTTATACCTTCTTTTCAAAATTATATATATAAAAAGAAGTGCTACTTCTTATGGATTTTTTTTTTTTAATCTCAGAACATGTAAAATTACTTTTCAGTGTAACTAAATTGAGTTTCAGCAATCAATTGCAGAAGTTATTTCCCAAAACTCACCAGGCTGGGAATAGAAACAGTAGGGGGGAAAGTTGAGAAATGAAAAGTAGAAAAGAAGGGGATATAAAATGAAATTACAGAGAGAGTAGTGTCTCTTACTGTAAGTGGGGAAAGGGTGGCTTTAGAGAGTCAATCCCCACAGTAATACTATACCTAACAGTTGGCTGTGTTCCCCTGTGATGGAGTTCTGACTCGGGTCTGAAAAACAAACAATTGAAAAGAAAGGGAAAAAATGAATGATCAAAACAAATATTTTTTAAAAACCCAACAAAAGTCAATCAAGGAAATAAACTAAAAAAACAAAACAACAACCCCACTTTTCAATGCTAAAGAAACATTAATGAAAAGATAGTAATAATAAAATAGGCTATTATAAAAAATAATTACATATCTTCTTTGAAAAGCCAAACAACAGAATTACCATGTGAACCAGCAAGTCTACTCTTAGGTCTATAACACTGAAGTAATAAAGGGCCTCCCTGGTGGCGCAGGGGTTAAAGACACAGCCCGATCCAGCTATCTCCAGCCACTGAAGCCTGAGTTCAATCCCCGGCTAGAGAGCTAACACACATGGCACAGCAGACCTCATGCCCACTGCTCCCCTCAGCAGTGTATTTCAGTAGATCTACATGTCCTGCTTCCCACTCTCTCTCTGGTGAATCCTCTCACCCACCCCCCACACACCTCTTGCCTGTGCCCCAGTTCTTGTATGTATAAATAAATAAATCTTTTTTAAAAAAGTAATAAGGGCCTCCCCGGTGGCACAGTGGGTTGAGCGCAGCGCTGTGAAGCTGTCCACAGCCTCTGCAGCGCGGGTTCGATTCCCAGCCCACCAGGGAGATACCCAGATTGTGCGGCAGATCTCGCCTGCTGCTCCCCTCAGCAGTGTATTTCGGTCTACCTGCCTGTTCTGCTCCCCACTCTCTCTCTGGCGAATCCTCTCACATCCCACATCTCTGGCCTGTACCCGGGTTTTCGTATGCATAAATAAATAAATCTTTAAAAAAAAGAAAAAAGAGAAAAAGAATGCCTCTTTATGTACTGTATATTTCTCCTTGCCTTCTGAGCTGTGCATACATGATATATGTGCATTTTCTAGCAAGCCAATGCTCTTCCTTTGAATGTCCTCCTATATTTGAGATGAGTAGAAGTAAATTTTTTGTGTAGTTCTCTATAAGTTCAATTTTGGTTTTCATTTATTATAATTAAAGGAGTGCAAGGCACTCTTTAGTTGATACTAATTTGAAGACAAACCTCCAACAACCTGCAAATGTTTCATTAATATATCAAAAGCTGAAACAAGGAAATAAAGCCACTGGAATGAAATTACCCATGCCTATAAAAATCACAATTGGTAAGTGGATTTAAATTGAAGAGAGTTTCTAGGTATGCAATCCACATAATACAGTCAACCTGATAACACTCTGAGATATGGCTGGGTACCTTTCTACTTTCTTTTTTTTTTTTTTAATTTATTTATGCATACAAGAACTGGGGTACAGGCCAGAGGTGTGGGGGGTGAGAGGATTCACCAGAGAAAGAGTGGGAAGCAGGACAGGCAGATCTACTGAAATACACTGCTGGGGCGAGCAGCGGGTGAGACAGGAGAGATCTGCTGCATCATGTCGGTCACCTCACCAGGTCACCTCACCAGCCCGGGGATCAAACTCGTGCTGCAGTGGCTGTGGGATAGCTTCATAGTGCTGCGTCTTAACCCCTTGCACCACAAGGGAGGCACACCTTTCTACTTTCTATTGTCCTATATCTGAACTCTTCCATTTAACATTTTTACTGGTAAGTAAAAGTTTGTCTAAGATTGTCCTAAATATTACTAAAAAATAACGTTTATCTTATTTGCTACTGTAATAAGTACAAATCTTATTTGCTACTGTAATATCTATTTGCTACTGTAATATCTTATTTGCTACTGTAATTCCCAATAATGCAACTATTTTTATCCTCCAATAGCTTTCATAAATCCAGGTACTCCTGGGTCATAATGCAACTAGGCCATATTAGCAAGTCTGCGTGATACTCTACCAGTCAAAATGGTGGTTCATGTGAAAAACAGAAACATATACCTTTTCACAACAGATAAATGCAATCAGAAAAAATGACCTGAAAATATTTCCTTTTAACAGTAATGAGTAATTTTACAAATGGACATTTGCTCAACATACTTAACTTATCCTGGGTAAATGGTAGGGAATAGATATTTTATTTAGTTTCTTGCCATATGCCCTGGAGACTAGAGAGCGGAAAAAATGATTGCGCATGGTACTCACTTGCAGAACTGTCTCTGGAAAAAGTTTTTCTGAGAGCCTTATTTCTCTCAGCTTGTCCATAACGATAATCTTTTTCTGAATTTCCTTTGATAATCACTTCATCTAGCATTTTTCATAGAGAATTTGAAATAAACTAGAGTTAACCTGCATCTAGCATCTGAAAGTCAGTATAAAAGGTTTTAGTCTTCATTAAAGATAGAAAAAGAAGTAGGCATAACTAAGTGCATATACACTGGGCCAATAAGGTTATGGTATGGCCTGCATTATCTGGACATACTACAAAAATGATTTCAGGATTTTAAACATCTAAAATCACTTTCAAAAAACCAAAGCAACATTATTCTTAAGAAACTATTTTGACTCAAAATTAGGCAAAGATGATGAAAGATGAAATTAAAGACAATTATTCTAACATTCATGTTTATTAGATTCTAAAGGTAGGTTCTAACTATGATGGGACACTTAAGAGATAAAACAAGTTGAAATAAGGTAAGGTCTGAAGGTCTGTTCTTTTTATATAGATTTTAAATTTACTGCAGTGAAACCAGATAGATTTAGAAATGTTTGCATGTAATTAACTGGGCTTTAACTGACTAGAAGGGTGAAAAATACCAGGCAATTTTAGGCAAAGGTAAGATGGAAAGGTAGAGCAATGCATATAAAAGTTAAGTCATTTAGTTCTTTGTTTCTAGCCCACACCATAAAGGAGGGTCAAATGATTCTTACTTTTTAATATAAGAATGTAATTTTAGGGCCTCCCTGGTGGCACAAGGGGTTAAGCACACCACCGTGAAGCTATCAGCAGCCACTGCAGCATGAGTTCGCTCCCTGGCCAGGGAGCAACCAACATGGCGCAGCAGACCTCTCCTGCCCCGCCCTCCGCTCCCCTCAGCAGTGTATTTCAGTAGATCTGCCTGTTTTGTTCCCCACTCAGTCTCTGGTGAATCTTCTCACCCTCCGTACCTCCGGCCTGCACACCAGCTCTTGCATGCATAAACACACAAATCTTTAAAAAAAATTTTAAAAAAGAGTAAGAGAATAGAGAGGATTTGGGGGGTGAGGGGTGGGAGAGGAGGGCAGCAAGGATGGTTAGTGTGCTAATTTAGATACTCATTCTAAAAAGTTCTGTTGGTAATATGACAATTGCCCAGACACTTAAAGGGAGATATCTAGTTATAAAAAAAGAAAAAGAAAAATACCGGATGGTCTCACTCATAGCAGGAATCTAGAAAACTTAAATAAGGGACAAGGAAAATGAATATAAGAAAATGAAAATCAAAATCAACAAAAAACTATGAACCAGAGACACTTTTTGGGGGTGGGGGGCGGGAGGGGAGGGATTGGGGTCAGAATGGGGCGTTTGCAATTGTATGGGGGAATATAAAAATAAAATTTATTATTTAAATTAAAAAAAAATATTGACAGAAAGAACATTATATAGGTAGAGGCGACAGTTAGAGCAAAGACCTTGAAGCAAGAGAAGTAAAAAACAGGGCGTTTGCAATGATTAAAGAAAAAAACAATGGTAGTTTGGATCAGGTCAAAAGTAGTAGAGGTTCTGAAAGTTGTGAGATGCCAGGTACGCTTCAAAGGAAGGACTCACAGATTAGCATGCTCATAGATTAGAGATGGGATGACAGTGAATTAAAGAAGACAAAGTTCTCTTCCAGAGGAATTAGATGAACAGAGATACCATATACTGAGTTGTAGAAGAATGGGAAAAAGCCATGACGGTGATGATGAATAAAGAATGTGAAGGGAAGCCTACTGTGATGGTCATGCAACTGTCAAGAAGTAAAAATGAGGCAGTGAAAAACACACAAGAGGGCCTCCCTGGTGGTGCAAGGGGTTGAGACACAATCTATGATGCTGTCCACGGCCACTGCAGCACGAGTTTGATCCTGGACCAGGGAGCTACCCACATGGCACAGCAGACCTCTCCTGACTTGCCCGCGGCTCCCCTCAGCAGTGTGTTTCAGTAGATCTACCTGTTCTGCTCCCCACTCTGTCTTGGTGAGTGCTCTCATGCCATACTTCTGCCCTACACCCCAGTTCTTCCACACAAAAATAAAGGAATGAGTATATGTCTTGACATTAAGAGGCTCATAATCTAGTTGAAGAGTCAAACATACAAAACTATAAAAGAATGTCAGTAATAATAGTATCCTATTTAATAGCATTTTATAGCTTTTAAAATGTATTCATACATTTCATTTGATTCTTACCTGGATTCTGATTTTTCTATTACATTATGCTAGTTGTTCATAAATTCAGGTGTAAAAATGAACACTAGTTACTCTAGGTAACTCAATTATAAAGGGATCAAATAACAAAGGTAAAAAAAATTACAATAAGACATTTATAAAATAAATTATAGGTCAGCAATAAGTATTTAGTGTGTGTAGCTACAGTGTCCACAAATGATCATATCATGTCTACCGCAACATTAAGAGTTAAGAAACAGTACTTACCTTAGGAAGATCCAGCCCCCCCCTCCCACCTCTAGAGCCCACCCTCCTTAAATAAGGTGAAGGACAGTTCATGCGACTATAGACTCCAATACAGAAGCAGGGCTGAAAGAATAGAGAAAGGAGCAAGAGATAAACATCATCCACCTAGAACAGTAAATATGATCCTGACTTTAATATTTAAAAAGGTCAGTAACCAAAGTATTTTGTTATTTTTATATGTATTACTTTTGGTTAGTCCTATAAGATTATTTGATTAGTTCTACAAGTATTCATGAATACTTACTATAATTTTATCTTGAAAAATTTATTGAATTCGTTTTGTCCTAAACACCTTGGTAAGTCTTAACTGTGACTAGATTATCAGGGTGTGATCCGCTTTCTCTCTCCACCCCTGCCACTAACCCTGTTAAGAGACGAAGCCTTTATCATATATTTTTTTCCT